TCATCGGCCCAACTGTGGTCCCCTGTCCAGAGCAGATCCAGGAGGAGCCGCTGGATTCCCTCTCCAGCTCCGTCCGTCGGGGGGCATGGAGACCCTGACGCAGCTGAGGTGCCCACACCCCCTCCCCAACCCCATGCCCTTCTTCCCATGGGCTCTGCCTCTCTCCTTTGGGGCCTCTCTGCTGTGCCCAACCCCACACCATGCCTTCTCCTCTTCCCTTGCCCAGTCCCTCCTCCCCCACCTCCTCTCCCCCTTTGTGGGTCTGAATCTCAGGCCCACCCCTAAACCTCCATCATCCCAGCTCTGCATGCACAGCCCCAGCCTCCAGCCACAGGGCCCCCTCACTCCATGGCTTTGCTTTCTGTCTCTTCACCAGCCACACCCAGCCGGCCCTGGGTGTCCGGGAGCGGTCCGAGCTGGTGAACACGTGCGTGAGGAGTGTGTTCTCCCTGCCCTCCGTGCAGGCCATGCAGGAGAAAGATGAGGCCAAGGCTGAGAGCATACAGGTGAGCAGGGCCCTCCCCAGCAGGCCCTGCGGCTGCCCAGGGCCCTCAGAGTGAGGCACATTCCAGGGGATGAGGATGTCCACCCTCCTGCTCAGGCCTCGGGGCCTCGGGCAGTTTGCTGACCCTCTCTTGGCCTGAGAGGGATGTTTGGTGAATGAATGAATCTTTGGAATGGGGATCAACCCCTCTTCTGGAGTGTTCTGTCGGCTTCTGGGCAGATGTTGGCCTGGCCAGAGGGGGTGGCCAGGATTGAGAGGAGGAGGGCTGAGGACTGGGCCATGACGAAGAAAGACTGGGCTGAGGCCTGGAGAAGTAGAACCTCCAGGAGCTCATTCACACGAGCGTCTTTAAACCTCTGCAGGCCTGTCCTAGGAGGAGTGGGCAGAGGTGACCCTCAGTGTAGGATGTAGGGTCAGTGGGGGAAGTTAAGGGAAAGGTGTTTCAGCTCAGGGAAAGGCACATTCATTCATCTGTTCGTTCATCAAATATTAACCGAGGGCCTACTCCTGAAGTGCAGGGTTGAGATTCAGTAGGGGCAAGGGCACGGGGAGATAAACATGATCAGGGAGTCTCTCTCTCTCTCTCTCTCTCTCTCTCTCTCTCTCTCTCTATATATATATATATATATATATATATATATATACACACACATTTTTATTGATTTCAGGGAGGAAGGCAGAAGGAGAGAGAGATGGAAACATCAATGATGAGAGAGAATCATTGACTTGTTGGCTCCTGCATGCCCCCTACTGGGGATTGAGCCTGCAACCCAGGCATGTACCCTTGACTGGAATCGAACCTGGGACCTTTCAGTCCACAGGCCAACGCTGTAGCCACTGAGCCAAACCAGCTAGGGCAAGGGAATCTTAAAATTAATGCAAAATTACAACACTGACAAATGTTGCACGCAAGAAGTAGTTGGTGCTATAAGAGCCCAGGATGGGAGAACTTGGCCTAGATGGGGGTCAGGGGTCATGGTGCTGGAGCTGAGGTTAAAGAAGAGCTAATTAACCGAAGGGAGTGGGGCTGGCAGAAAGAAAGGCACACCAGGCAGGGGGAACAGCCTGTGCAGAGGCCTGAGGACAGAGAGAACATGGTGTCTGCAAGGGTGACACTGAGGCAGTGTGGCTGGAGCCCAGAGAGCCAGGCTAGAGTGCTGGGAAGCAAGGCAAGAGAGCTGTGGGAGCCAGAGCAGGTGGCAGTGGAGGGCTCTGGGTTCCAGAGGAGACCCAAAGGAAGGGTGGCTAATTGGGGGGTTGGGGATGGGTGGGGAGGGGAAAGAGAGCAGTCCCCTTGTAGTACCAGCCCTAGCCAGCAGAGGTCAGCACTGCACAGTGATAGGTTGCAGATGAGAGGGAAGGAGGAGGAAGTTGGCGAGTGAGGTTGGCTTGGTGGTTGCGTTGTAACCCTGAACAGTGACAACATGAGAGACAGACATGGTGACTTGGCAGGACAAGTGAAGACAGGGGAGAGAGGGCCTTCCCAGCGTGGCTGGAATCCACTGCTCAGCCTTGTGCATGTATAATGCACGCACTTACTAAAACAATTCCAGGGCTGTGGTGTGGCTCACAGAGGAGGAGCCCGGGCTGGGTAGAGATGACCCCTGAAAGGGGCAACTTGGAAAATCGATTTAGGTCTAGGAATAGCAATTAAAAGGAGATTCAGAGACAATAATAAAGTTTTATCTAGCTCTTACAGCTCTAGAGCATTTTCCCCACCCACCCCCCCTTTGTTGCTTACCTGACCTATAATATATTCTCAGTAAATGTAGGGTCTCTGCTTTCTCCCCCTCTAAGGTAAGAAGTGAATGGATAATAATGATCAATTTGTTAATAAGGAAACTGTCCCCATGGAGGGGAAGGAATGTGTCCAATATCATACATCAAGTTAGTCTCAGAGGAGGGACCAGAAAGCAGCCTTCCAGGGCCCACACACGGGGGTTGCCCGGGGCTAGGGTCTGCTGCAGGGGCTCCCAGTGGCTTGTCCTCCCCCTGTCCACAGATCCTCTACCGCCAGACCCTGGATGCCCTGCAGACACTGCTCAACGCTCTTTTTGTTGAGGACCCCACTCCTGCTGGGCTGAAGAGCATTTTGGAGGTGTGGGGAGGGGGGAGAGGAAGGGTGGAGGAGGAAGCAGAATTGGCTCAGGAGGGGGAGTGGGGTGGCGGGGGGGGGGGGGGGGGGGGGGGGTTTAAACCCAAGAGAGGGAATTTGACTTCCCGGATGTCATCCTGTGCCAGGTTTCTGCCTCCCCTGTCTTTTACAGCCCTGTCCCAGACGCCTGCCCCTCCACCCTTCTCCCTATCTCTCATATTCCTGCTGTAAGCTGCCCCCCATATCTCTGCTGTCTCTAGTAATTGCCCCTGTCTTTCTCTTTTTATCCTCGTGACTCTCCATCTTTCATCTCTCTCCTCATTGGTCTTCCAGCTTCAATCCTCAGCTTCTAAACCCACGAGTCCCTAAGCTTTAAGAAGAGGAGAACTGTGGGGAGTGGTCTTTCTTTATTTTTAATCCTCACTGGAGGCTATTTTCCCATTGATTTTTAGAGAGAGTGGAAGGAGAGGGAAAGGTAGAGAGAAATATCAATGTGAGAGAAACACATCAATTGGTTGCCTCCTGCACGTGCCCCAACCAGGGCCTGGGCCAGGGAGGAGTCTGCAACCGAGATACGTGCCCTCAACCGGAATCGAACCTGGGACCCTTCGGTCCTCAGGCCAACACTCTATCCACTGAGGCTAGGGCGGGAGTGGTCTTTCTGCCCTCCCCGGAAGCTGGTCAATGGAGGCTGGCAGCCGGCCTGTAGCGCTGAGTCTTGCCCTCATCCTCACAGCCCCCCGGGCCCTGGATGAACTCTGGAAAGGCCCATGAGCGAGCGCCCCCCTGTGAACAGCAATGTCTCTCTG